ACTTAAAGGAGCTAGTTAGACATCTTAGGCAACTCTCTAAATCTGAATTTAAGAATTTTCTTTTATCTTGAAACATTTCACTCCCCAGTTACTTGATAACTTATACTAGAAAAATAAGGCTATGTTTATTTGGATATAAAATATTTTTAAAAAATATATATATATTTTAAAATATTTTTGAGGAAGATATTTTACACTTTGACAAAGCTTAAGATTAAAATGAAGTTATCTAACATCTCCACCTTGACAAGCCGGTACTTCTTAAATCATAAAATCCTTATAAATGATGTAATGATCCGGTCATTTCCTTCTTTTCCTTTTTCCTCAGGATTTTACGGATGAATTTTTTTCGTTGAAATTTCTTTTTTGAGTTCAGTTTCTCATCGCTTAGTGTCGTCTCGAGTGCTTGGAAATGGTTTCTGAGACTCTTTCTTTGGATTGACAACTTCCTTTGAGGACCAAGTCATTTCCACATTTTTCGTTTTTTGACACTATTCACTTTTCGTCCTTTTCCCTATTTTGTGCTCTTCCCTATTTTGTCTTTTCCCCGTTTATCACTTTGTTAGCATAACTTCACTCTTTGTGTTCGGAGTTGGTTTTTGACTTCACATATCTTCATTCTAAATGGTTTTCACGAAATACGTATCCTTACTTTTGCAGTAAAGTACTCTGGTTGCTCCCGGTGTCCATAGGGGCATTGATGCACAATTCTTTAGAATCTTTTTCCTTTTCTTGGGGTGTTTTTCATAAATATCTTTTGAAAATATTTTATTTCAGGGTATCTAAGAAAATATTTTTTGGAAGATATTTTCATTCTGGGGCAGTTGTGCAGTTTCACTTTTTGGAGGGGCCATTGTGTAATTAACGAATGTTATTGCTAAATGCTTTGTTTTGAGCCTGGATCCTCGTACGGGATTCATTTTCACATTTCGTCGAGTCGCGTACTCATAGAATTTTCTTCTGGTCATTTTTCTACAGTTTTAGGGTTTTTGGCCCCGATTGTCACCGAACTTGTTTGGGGCATATCTCTCTATTCGAGACTCAGTTTTCTACGCCGTTTCTTCCATTGTTCATATTTTCTCATTTAGAATCTTTTTTGTTCACAGAGTTTTGCTGTTTGAGCAAGTTTGCTCAAAGTCCACTTTTCCGGACCCGGTGAGACCCTTTCGGGGCACTTTTTGAGATTTTCTATAAATATGAGGTCTTAAGTCAAAAAGTCAGATTTCCATTATCTTCTTCACCCTCTTGGCCGGCAGCCATGGGAGCCTAAGGGGCTGCCTTCATTCTTTCTTCTCCTCCACTTGATTTCCTTAGTGGAAACTCTTCGGCCTTAACATTTATTATTCCCCTCGACGTGCTCTACCTTTCCCCCTTATTAGAATTCATTTCTGACTATTTCTTGAGTTCGGGTTTGAAGTCAAGTTGTGATTTTGATGGGACTTCTTGTGGGTTCATGTAGATCGTGTTGTCCCCGACAAAACCTAGGAGTTTCATCGGATTTGGAGCGGTTTCATTTCGGTGGGCTTTTGAGATTTTCATCTCAAATTGAGGTAGGGGATGTCTTAGGTTTATATTATTGTTGTATTGATTGTTTTATAAGAATATATAACTTGTGAGCATGCCTTGTTCAAGTTTTTAGAATTTAATTTATTTATTTTCTTTGTTTAGAATTTAATTCTAATGATGGTATATAGTTTACAATTAAATTGTGGCATGTTAGTAAATTAGGCCTTGGCGAGTTGTGTAACATATATTAAATTTGGGGTATTTGAATAAGAATTGCAAAACTTATTTAATATTTATCTTTTGTAAAAGATTAATTCACATAGTTGTATCAAGTATGAAATCAACTTGCAATGTGATATTAAAGTAGGCCTTCTTGAGTTCTTTAACATATGTTAAATTGAGGATATTTGGGTATGTTTGAAAATCTAGAGAAAAATTAATTAATTAACTTAATTAATTTTATTTTAAGTGTGTTAGTCACTTAAATTGATATTAGATATAATAGGTTGATAATTCCTTGAAATGTAGTCCGTTTAATTACCTTGTGAGCATGCTACTAACTTGTTGTAGAATTAGTATTTGTAGCCTCTAAAGATGGTAATTTGACTTAGCATGATAGGTGATATTATTGTCTTGAATAGCTCGTTTAAATATATCTTGTGTAGGTATATAGCTTGTTAGAATATTACAATTGCTTACCTTGAGAGCTTGTTACTAAATTGTAACTTATTTACTACTTGTGACTTAGGATGGTAATATGGTTCAATTATTGTAAAATATTCTTACTTTGTGTATAAATAAAATAAAGGAGACTTGACACGTCATATGCTATCTAGACTTGAATTATAGGACATGGTTTGTGTAGATTCAACCTTCCTTATGCATGTAAATTGATTCTTAGACATTATTTGAAATGTATAAGTTTGGTTTAACTTATTGATATTGCATAAGTTTTGAACTTATTATTTTTGGAAGCTTGTAAGGATCATGTTCATGTGATGGTTAGGGTCTGGCCCTAGTACGGATTCGTGAGTTTCCTAAGTCATATGAAGTGCGCAGTAGGTAGTACCTTGTGAGTCATAATTACCCTGAATAACTTATACATGTGCGCACTAGGTAGTACTTTGCGGGCTAGTAACTCGGAATAACTCGATTGGTTTACAGCCAAGGATCCTAGTCTTTCCACTATTTGATTTCGCATTTAATTTCAAATTGTTAATCATGGATTACTTGTACCTTGAAAACTAATGCTTGCTTTGAATATTTGAATCTTATTTAGTATACTTGAAACTGTATACTTGTTTTGTGCATTTAGATCTCATTCAGTGTACTTGAACTTGTATGCTTGCTCTGTGAGTTTAGATTTCATTTAGTATGCTTGTGCCGTGTATACTTGTTTTAGGCTTATCTCTCTTAGCTTAGTATACTTGTGTCGATATACTTGATTTATGAGATTTTCATATAAAATGCATACTTGTGTAAATATGCTTAGACATTGCATGACTTATCTTAATGTGGTTTAGTATACTTAGAAATGTATGCTTGTATGTTGTATAACATGTTTAACATTGTTTAGTATACTTGAGCATGTATACTTGTGTGCCGTTGTTCATTTCAATTGCATGAGTAGCTTAGGATGATCCCTGAGTCTTAATTTGATATAGACGTTAGGTGGCATGAGCCCTTTGACATGTTTTACCTTAAGGTGATATAATTGTAAAACGTTAGATCGATGCATGCTCATCTCCTACGAGTAGCTTTATGTTACTCACCCACGTAATGGGGACATTTTTCAGGTACAGGGACCTTGATTTGGGATGTACACTATGCGATGGAAGTTTCGTAGACTTGAAGTACCATTTCCATCAAAATGTTGGCATGAAACCATATTTGTAGCTTGTATATCAAAACTTGTATTCTTTGAATCCCTTATGTAATGTGTACCTAAATATACTCTTCTAAATGTAATTGATATGCATGAGTTGAGGCCATAGGCCAATGGCATCAAATTTGTAGTCTATGCAAATTAATTTTTAAGGTTTATTATGAAAATATTGAAAAATCATAAGTCTTTGTTTTATAATTTTTGCATCGGGTGTGGGATTTCCATTCTTTTTCTTTCATAGGGTTTCTATGATCTCGTATGAGGTGTGGCCAAGGGCCAAACACCATTTTGTTATAGATTTTGCATTTTGATTCCATCTATCGCATTTTTGGGTATTTTTGGCCGTTGAGAAGTCATATTTTGCATTAAGGATATTTTGAGGTTGCGGACCATTGGGACGCATCTTAAATGTCTTTTTGCACTTGCGTAGGTGTTCATATATTTAATCTCCCTTAAAAAGAATCAGTTTTGACCTTTGCATGTTGGTGAAATGAATCCCATAGGTTCCCATGCAAACATCACATGTTTTGTAGACTTTCAGCAGCCTTTCGAGGAGTTTCGGTAGACCGATGGCTGAAGTCGATCTACCGAACCGGCCTTGCCTCAAAATTTAGACTTCAGAAATGTTTCTGTGAGTTTCGGTCAAAACCGAAACTCTATTTCGGTCGACCGAAATAGCCCATTTTCAGCTGCTTTGTTGATTTTGTTTGGTTGTTGATCCTTCAAGCTTATACCAATTAATTTACTTCCACTTGACTTTGTTGATCTTGCTTGAGCCATTTAATGGCGTACATGGTCTAGTTTGAACTAGATCTTACTCCTTTGGTTGTCATTGGTGCCATAAGGTACCAAGTGACCTTTTCATTCTATTTTTCACTTTCGATTATTCCTTTGGGTTCCATGACCTCATGGAAGGTCATCTTAGGGTCTTAGAGGTGTGTTACGCCTCGAGAGACCATTGTCTTGTTCCTTTTGCTTCCGCATCTGGATCCATTATCGGGTCAACTTTCGGGTCATCACTGACGCATCAGGGTTGAAAAACCCGGATCGTTACAAACGATGCAAAGAAATTTCAAATATTTTATATCAGTGAAGGAAATACCATGCCACATTATTGGCAACAGACCATACATTAGGTATCTGAAAATCACAAGTGGAAATCTCTAAACTTTTTTTATTTCTTGGTAATATTTCAATGAAGAATTTTCTTTTCCCAGAAAAATATAAGAAGACTCTTCTCTAGATAGGTTCTTAAAGTCACCAAATTATTATCCAGAGGATCAGAGCTATACCCTAATTCTTTAGTAAAGGGTTTCAAAACTCTTTATGTTACACATTTTAGGTGTTTTAAAGAGTAGCTTATGAGGATAACTAATTCTGTGTCTAGATGTAAAGTTAATCATATGTTTAGCTAATTTTGTTTTATATGGAAAATGATAATTGGCTAAGAACTCTAGAAATTAAAAGTTTTTTGTCAATAGGTACAGGACAAGAGAGACTAGTGACTTTATTAAAGATTCAAACCCACTAAACTTCTAAAGTGTTGATTTTGATGGACACTAATAAAAAAAAATGGTCACTTAAGGCACGTGACCCCTATACACCGCAAAATTGGTCACTTAAAGGCACGTGACCCCCCTGAGCAGAGTATAAAAAGCATTAAAAATGTGCAATCATAAAAGAAATGCGTCACTTACAAATTTTGATGTACTTGATAGTCCATGCAATTGAAAATCTTGTAACATATGCGTCTTTCAAATCAAAGCCACGAATTTCAGGCCTATATAAGGGTACACTGGAATCAATGAGGTCAGTGATCCACACTCTCCAATAGTCAGAATCAAGTGGAGCAGAACCTATGAGAGAATCTGGATCCATTGAATCAATCACACACTTGGCGACAACTGATTTTGTCCTATGAAAATGCAATAGCTCACAAGACTTGCCGACCAAATCTTCAGAAGGTGAGACTTAATGTGAAGCAATGGGAGAGGACTGGTTGTTAGCATTCTGTCCAAAGCACAATAATGGAAAAAAAGAGAGTAAATAATGCTTCTCATAATTAGTGTTATAATTAGAGAGATATCGTATCAAATTTATAGAGATTTATTACCAAAGATTGAATTAGTTGCATCAATTGATCTTGCCTTTCCTCTTGTCTTTGGAATTTCTCATTCATTTCTTGATATTTTTGTTTTAATTCATTAATAGTCCTCTCATATTTTTGAGAACCACCATTATTGCTTATCTGCCCCTTAACCCAAAAAGAAATACCTTATTACTAGATATGTCTTAAATTTGCCCCTCAATCCAACTTTGAATAGACTCAGTAATGACTTTATTTTGGATGGTTAGAACATGAATCATCATTATTATCATCCTTGCCTTTATCCCATATAGATTGGGTCCTCCACATGAATTATCTTTTTCAATTCTTTCTTATTACATACCACCTCTTCTCTTATATTTAATTTACAAAATTCATTTTTATTAATTCAGCCCATGTAAGTTTTGGTCGGCCTTTAGTTTTCCTCTTCTAAGAGGTGCATCATCGGGTCCACTTTGAATATGGCCATAACACCTAAGTCTACTTTACCTAATTTTATCATTTGTAGGTGGTAAACTCAGTGTTCCCCTCACACATTCATTACAGATCTTATCTCTTCCAATTGCTACTATCATCCAATGTAGTATACTCATTTCTGTTATACGAATGCGTTGTTCTTGCGTCTTTTTCAACCTCCAACACCCCGCTCCATTTAATATAGCTAGACTACCAACTGTTCTATGGAGTTTTCCTTTTAATTTATTTTGTATTCTTTTGTCACAAAGGATACAATTAACTTGCCTCCATTTTGTCCACCCTGCTCCAATCAAACTTACTACATCTCCAGACATAATATATGTAATGCAAATTTGATAAAGTAACAAATAATGACAATATAGGTATTACAATTCAAGAACAATTAAAGTGTTACACAAAATAAATTTTCCTTAGACTAGACCAATTCTATCCTAATAAATCCACATACTTATGACTATAACATGAGGAATTCTATGTAAGAGTGTTTTGGATTTCTATATTCAGACAAATTCTATCCTAAACAGCTTGCAAAGTTTATAATTTTATATAGGAAACAACTATTTGGTATTTTATAATTTTATAAGTTTATAATTCTATCCTAAGGCTTGAAGTTTGTAAAGACAGATGAGATCATAGTTAGCAAGTGGTAAAGTTAGCAAATAGTAAAGTGAAATAATATTAGAGCGCCAAATTTCCACGCAATTTAATTTTACGTTGTAAGGATATTGGAGAGTGACCATGCTATGGTTCCCCGGACTCCAGATTGCCCACTACCCTTCATAGCAGAAATAAGTGACATAGAGAGATCACTTACATATACTCGCTCGGATTCTGATCAGCAGCCATTTCACTTTGACATCCTGCATTCCAGTTTGAATCACAGGGAAGATGAGGAAGTTACACTTACACATGCAGTGTAAACTATTTTGTTCTTGCTCCCCTTTTAACCATATACACAAAAGACTAAAAGAGTCAACTATTTTATTGCAGAGAATTAGAGCTTGTATTATAGATTTTTTTTTTTTCTTTCTATACTATGGCTTAACTATACTAATATAATTTGATTCCAAACTTGTAAGTTAAATAGCTTGTAACAACAGAATTTGACATACATATTAGAATGGCATGTTCAATGTCATAGTGATCAAAGTAGGATGAAATTTAATTTGTAGTCACTGGTTGGATAAAGGCAAGGATAATTAGTCATCTAAAATAATGGAACACATGGAAAATTATGTAGAAGCTTGGGAACAGTTGCTTCTATGCATATATGTTCATTTACTTCACTACTGTGAGATATTTGGTTTGTCATTGGTGAAGGATTCCCCTTTTGACACTGAAACCATTAAAGTTTCAGCTGGATACATTTAATGAATGATCCTAATTAAACACAAGTCATCTTTCATAGAATTGCAGGAATATGTAACACTTAAAAAACTGTGTCTGTTGCTTCTCATTTAGATGCTTTTTAAACAACTGAAACTACAAGATTTATTGTTATCTAATGATTGTTAGTAGCTGAATGACACTTACATTAAACTCATAAAAAAGGACAGATCAAACTTTTTTGCGAAATTATGGGTTTAGTCTAATCCTTTCTTTGGTTAATAAGAAACCAGATGAAAGGAAAGGAAATAATGCCACACCAACTCAACTGAGATCAGTCTTGTACATTTACTTGAGGGAGTTAAACAAATGAACCTGATGTTAATTTATTTTCACTCTTTTTTTTTTTTTTTTTTTTCTCTTCCCCTTAGTTTCCTCAAAACTAAATAGAGCTAGAAGGAAATGGAAAGAAGCAAATAAGAAGTGATGATAAGAGATACATACGTTATAAATGGAGAGGAGAACAGGTGAATCCAAAAGCTCAGCTGGGCTTAACAGAGAACAAAAAAATTTACATTATTCAACCATTAAACGATCAGCACATATATATAAAATAAAGAAAAATAATTATAAAAAAACCATTAGAGAATCCTCAATGAAAATTTTACTAGTTTTTTTTTATTGCAGAACATTTAACATCCGCACATTATCTGACTTTTCGCTTTTCACCAAGATTTTGGACAGACTATTGTTACTTAAAAAGTCAGAAAATGTGTTGATCTATATCGCAGCTGATTTTGACAGTAATCTGAAACCAAGAGCAGTGAATAGTTAACATCAATATATAACCAAATATGAAGGCAAAAAAAAAAAAAAAAAACTCAACAAAATTGCAATTACTAAGAAGAATAAAAGTAATAGAAGAAAGAAATAACAGAAGCTTGCTTTCAAAAGGTAAAATGAACACCTAACTGCCAATATGAAACAAATAAAGCCAAATGCAAGAGTTTTTGTTCCTGCCTTCATTTCACGGAACACTCTCCCCTTCCCTTCCCACCCAGCAAATGAAGGGAAAAAAAAATTTCAACACCCGATCCAAATCACGATCTAATGCTATTATATGGAATTTGCTATAACTGAAATTCTTTAATTAGATTAAGGCATTTTATCAAACAGCTCAGACTTATAGTTAGTAAAAACTTTATTTTAAAGACATTGAACAAGAAACCAAATAAATTTTTTTATTAAAAACTCATATACTATTATTTTAGACCAGCATTACCAACAACTATTTGTTATATTGATAAATTAATAGTCATAAATATGTATTTAGGGTGTAGATCATCTACATATATACACAGAATTTTTCAGCAATTAGCATTAGCATCATGCCACATCTGAGTGCTTGTGGACTTCTGGGAGAATTTAACCCTCAATTTCAACAGAACTATACAATGGCACTAAGCATTACAACAAAAAGATGTAATTAAAATCCAGAAATTACATCTAAAGGAGTATAATAAAGAAGAAGAAAAAATGTGAAACCAATCTTACAAGTCGCAACTGTCCACCACAACAATTATTAGAAAAAATAAAAAATTAAACCTTTAATAGGATAATAAAATCTCCAGCCCTTTGGCAATAAATCAATCAAACAGAACAATGTTAAGAGGAAAAATGATTAATCCAAAACAGCTTTATATAAATTACAATATATATATACATATATAAGCAATGAATGTATGAGCATTCAATTATAAGGATACAACAAAGGGCCATCGACAAAGACCCTGATAACAGTGAAGCTCCAATCCCATCAACTGACTCGTCCTTTCTCAGCTTTTCATCCTCAATCACAAACTCCTCCAACCTCTGTAACAAACTCTCCGCCCTCTGATTATGTGCAACCTCATTTGAAGACGAATCATAGACGTACTTGTACGAATTGAAGCCCGTGGCGATTACGACAACTTGATTGACTTGGTTGAAAAGTAGAATGGAGTTCAAGAATGAAAGGACCTGTGTGAATTCGTGAATATGAGAGTCGTTGGTGAATTAGGGGATATTAGTTTTAGAGAGAGAAAGTTAGGGTTTATAGAAAAGTTACGAGAGAGAGAGAGGAACTTGGAGAAGAGTGTTGGTTGCTGCACTCCAGAACAAAGGGTTTGTGTCCATTAAGGCCATGAGAGGGCGAACATCATCTACAATTACAGAATCAAACACGAATTTGTAAGAGAAACATTTATATATATAAAGATATGTGTGTGTAGAGAGAGAGAGAGAGAGGAGAAAACCTGCGTATTCCTTTGATAAAACTGGTGTCATACTTGTGTATTCATTGGGGCAAGCTGGTAACGCGGGCGATGGAAACTGAAAGATATGGGTTTTGATTTTTTTGAACAATCTGAAATATGGGTTTCGATATAGGTAATAGGTTTTGAACTTTTGATTCTAGCAGACAGATAGATAAACTGAAGTATATGGGTTTTGAAATTCTGATTCTTATAGATTTTGTAGTTTGTAGTTGCAGAGACAGAGAGAGGGCAAGTTTAGAGTTGAGAACGATAATAGAGATGGAGGCGATTTGGGAGGCTGATTTGATTCTTGTAGAGTTTGTAGTTTGCAGTCGCAGAGACAGAGAGAGGGCAAGTTCAGAGTTAAGAACGAGAATAAAGATGGAGGCATATGTGTCTGGTCTGAAATGATTTGCCCTAAAATTTTAAGATAGTAGCGGGAAGAAGACCCGCGTAAACCCTTATACTAAATTCACTCTCTATCACGGTGCCTGAATCATTTTAGAATATATTACTACCACGGTTTTTCATTAACCGTAGCAGAAAGAGCATGCCTAAATCTAAGTCACTTTCTTAATTCACTTTCTACCACGCTTACAAAATAATCGGGGTTAAATAAATTCACTTTCTACCACAGTTTTTTTATAACCAAGGTAAAAAATACAATTACTATCACGGTTTTTCCTTAACCATAGTAGAAAGGATCTTCTACCATGGTTTTAAAATAACCGTAGTAAAATATATACTTTCTACCACGATTATTTTAAAACTGTGGTAAAAAAAGCTTGGTAAAAAACTATTTTATTTTATTTTATTATTATTATTATTATTTTTTTTGTAGTGAATCCACGCACATACATATATATCTATACATATAAATGCACACACGACTCTTATTTGTATGTATCTTTGATTTTGGAGTAAGCTTTGGATTGAAATTAAAGCCAAAATCAAGCTGGGGGCGAGTTTCTTTATTGGCGTCTAGAGAGATTTGAGATTTGATAAAAGGCTCTATTGATTTCAGAAGTCACAATTCCATTCACTTAGGTTTTGGAAAACTTGCCAGTTGCGGATTAGTTCGATGACGAATAAAATTGCCGCAACTGATTCTTCCAAATTTTGGGCTTCAAGGTACTGTTGAATCAGTTTACCTAATTGTGTGAATATGAAAATCATCTGGCTTGATTGAATCGATTCCCTTCCTTCCAGAAGCTCCGACGAGAGCTCTGTTGAAGACCCAATCTGGCCAAAGTAACATTGAAGACCTATCTTGTCCAGAGCTCTGTTGAAGCATCCTGACCTGGTTCAATTCAGTCTAGTGAAGCATCCTGACCTGGTTCAACTGACAAGCCAAATGAGTGGATGACGATGGTGATATTGGTGTTTGGTTCGATTAGGGCTTTGCAATCGGTGTCGACAATGGTGGTGGTGTTAAGTTTAATTAGGTCTCTGTAATCAGTGCCGCATAGTGGTATTATTGGTGTTGGGTTTCGATTAAAATTAGTGATGGTGGTGGTGGATCATTTGCGTCTACCTGATTGCATCTGCCTAGATGCTTACTTAGGCTACAACCAAATAACTATGGACCCAAATGATAAAGCGAAAACTTCTTTTGTCATCAAACGAGGAATCTATTGCTATAAAGTCATGCCGTACGGACTAAAGAACGCTGAAGCTACTTATTAAAGGCTGGTCAGTAGGATTTTCAAAAATCAAATAGGGAAAACTGTAGAGGCCTATATTGATGACATGGTGGTAAAGAGTAAGAAGAAGGACAATCACCTAGAACACTTGCAAGATGTGTTTGGGGTGTTAAGGAGGTATAACATAAAGCTTAATCTAATTAAGTGCTCGTTCGGCGTAGGTTCTGGGTAGTTCCTAGGACATGTGGTTAATAACAGAGGAATTAAAGTAAGCCCGGTCTAAGCAGAAGCTCTGATCAAAAGTGCAGAACCAAGAACGGTCAAAGAGGTGCAAGCACTCACTGGTCGGATAGCCGCACTGAGTCGATTCTTTTCTAAGCTGTCAGATCACTGCAAACTGTTTTTTGATACAATAAGAGGCCATGGAAGGCAGGCCTGGGGGGATGATCAACGACTAGTACTGACTAGCTTGAAAGAATACATGCGGAACCCTCCAATCTTATCTGCCCCCGAACCAGGTGAAAAGCTTTTTATGTACCTTGGTGTGTCCAGCATTGTAACAAGTTTCGTTTTAATGCATTGCGAAGAAGGTAAGCAGTTCCCACTGTTCTATGTTAGCAAAATGTTGGCCGAGCCAGAAAGAAGGTATTCGAAGGCCGAACGAGTGATCCTATCATTGGTGAATGCAAAAAGGAAACTCAAGCATTATTTTGAATCCCATCCTATTGTCATTCTGACCACATTTCCTATGAGGATGATCCTGCATAAGCCAGATATGTCAGGAAGAATGACAAAGTAGGCCATAGAGTTGAGTTCACTTGATATTACGTATGAACCTAGAACAGCAATAAAAGGACAAGCAGTGGCTGATTTCTTGCTTGAGTGTGATGTAGAAGATTTAGAAGAAGACCTCAGAGGCTTTTCATGGAAGCTTTATGTTGATGGTTCCTCAAATTAGAACGGGGCAGGAATTGGGATCAAACTACAAACACTAGAAGGCATCACCCTAAGTTAAGCAATTAGACTCGAGTTCCGAGCAACTAATAATGAAGTAGAGTATAAAACATTGTTGGCAGGATTGAAATTGGCCAAAGAACTGAAGATCAAAAGTTTTGTTGCTTTTAGTGATTCACAACTGATCATCCAGCATGTGACTGGGACTATGGTACCAAAGATGAGACAATGGAGGCATACTGTTCCGCTGTTATGCGCGAAGCAAAAGACTTCGATCAGATTAAATTCATCCAATTGCCGAGGGAATACAATGAAGATGCCGATCGATTGGCTTGTAGTGCATCAAGTTCTGGAGAAACATTGGCAAGGGTTATACTAGTTGATGTGTTACGTCAGCCATCCATCTTTAAGGAACCATCCGGTTCGGACCATCGGCAAGTTAATGTCATACCATATGAGCTGAGCTGGATTGATCCAATCATGACTTTCATACGCGATGGTGTGTTACCCGAGCGGATAGATGAGGCAAGGAAAATCAGATCAAATGCTGCAAAGTATGCAGTTATGCACAATCTATTGTATAGAAGGTCTTTCTCGAGACCATACTTGAAATGCGTAATCCCCACGGAGGCTGGGCAGATCTCGTGAATAATCCATGAGGGTGTATGTGGCAATCATTCAGGAGGGAGGTCTCTGGCGCATAAAGTAATGACACAAGGATATTTCTGGCCGAACATGTCACGAGATGCAAATGAATTCTCTAAAAGATGGGATAGGTGCCAAAGGTTTAGACCACTGATCCACCAAACACTTGAAGATTTGCACGTAATGGCCCAATCATGGCCTTTCGTACAATAAGGGATGGATGTGGTTGGCCCTATGCCGACTATGAGATCATAGAATAAATACGTTTTACTTGCAATAGATTATTTTACCAAATGGGTGGAGGCAGAGCCATATCTGAGTGTAACCCAGACTCAAGTAAGACTCTTTATCTGGAGTAATATCATTTGTCATTTTGGTGTACTAAGATCAATTGTTATGGACAACGGAACCAATCTGGGTAGTAAGCAAGTGAGGGATTTACTAGATAAATATGGGATCAATCAGAAGTTGGCAGCAGTCAGTCATCCGCAAGAGAACGGTCAAGCTGAAATTACTAACAGAATAATCTTCGCTTGCATAAAAAAGAAGCTTGAGGACGAGAAGGGTAAGTGGTTGGATGAGCTTTCAAACGTCTTGTGGGCTTACAGAACGACCCCTAGACGACCAACTAGAGAAAACCCATTTGCTATGGCATACGATACCGAAGTAGTAATACCGGTTAAACACTTAGTTCCAACCGTTCAAAGTCTGGCATGGAATCAAGAACAGAACGACAGTATGCTGAAGTTTAACCTCGATTTGCTGGAAGAGAAAAGAGATGAGGTAGCAATAAGGCTCGCGTTCTATTAACAAACTCTTATGAATAGTCACAACAAAAAGGTAAAGTACAGAGACTTTGTGCCTGGCGATCTGGTCTTGAAAAAGAAGGTGGGGACTGTTAAAAAGATGATGTCACCCTAGGAAAGTCTGTACAGAATTGCAGAAGCCATAGGAAATGGGGCATACAATTTAGAGACTATGACTGGAAGATTGGTCAACAAACCATAGAATGCCACATCTCTAAAGAGGTATTACTAGTAAAGATTGAATTCCATTATGAACAATGTTCATTTAGAGTTGCTCCTTTACAGATGTATGTACTTCTTGATATTTATAAAAAGAGTTCATTCTGCTTCAAAAAGTTTATTGAGCAAAGTAAGTGGCAAATGGCACTACGAGCCGAACGCCAAACACTTGCACAAAATAAAAGCCAAGTCACAAGTGGCATTCTAGCTAAGCGCCAAGTACTTAACCAAGTAAGTGGCAAATGACACTATGAGCCGAACGCCAAACACTTGCGCAAAAATAAAAGCCAAGTGGCAAATGACATTCTAGCCGAGTGCTAAGCACTTAGCCAAGTAAGTAGCAAATGGCACTATGAGCCGAAGGCTAAACACTTGTATAAAATAAAAGCCAAGTGACATTCCAGCCGAGCGCCAAACACTTAGCTAAGTAAGTGGCAAATGGCATTACGAGCAAAATGCTAAACACTTGCACAAAAAAAAAGCCAAGTGGCAAGTAGCATTTTAGCCGAGCGTCAAACATTTAGCCAAGTAAGTGGCAAAGGGCATTACGAGCTAAACACCAAACACTTACACAAAAATAAAAGCCAAGTGGCAAGTAACATTCTAGCCGAGCGCCAAGCACCTAGCCAAGTAAGTGGTAAATGGCATTACGAGCCGAACGCCAAACACTTGCACAAAATAAAAGCCAAGTGGCAAGTGGCATTCTAGCCGAGCAATAAGCACGTAGCCAAGTAAGTGGCAAATGATACTACAAACTGAACGCCAAACACTTACACAAAAATATATAAAAAAAAAAAAGTTAAGTGGCAAGTGTCATTCTAACTGAGCGCCAAGCACTTAGCCAAGTAAGTTGCAAATGGCGCTACGAGCCGAATGCCAAACACTTACGTAAAATGAAAACCAAATAGAAAATTAAACTATCAACCCATTCAAGTACAGGTTGGAATATGGGAGCTTTGCAAAATAAAGTTGTCGTTTCATTCGTCATAAAATAGTTCTTAAAAAACATGACGTGACATTAAAAAAAAAGGGAAATAACTACAAAAGTCAGTAGAACGCTATTCTGCAATATTCTCTCCAATGTCAGATCCATTGCCTACTGTGATACCCCCGGATTTCCGAA